GTTGACGTACTTATTGATTGCTGGTGAAAAAATCAGTCAAAACTATAAAATTTCGGTCCTGGACATTTCATCTTCAAAAACTGAAAATGGGACAGAGATTGGGAAAATATGATTTTGAAATTTTATTCGGGATTTTGACTCCCAATAACTCAATTTGGTTTTATACCACCATAAATTAACTGACTTATTGGTTTCTGGGCAAAACTTTCATCCAATCTGTCAAATTGGTGCCCAGAAAATTTAATATTTGAAAATGGGACAGACTTTTGAAAATACAACTTTTCGTTTTGTTAAGCTTTCTGCTGCGGGCTTCCTCCGACCGAAATATTAATTCCAGCATCTCAATCGTGTCATATTCCATCTATGGTTGAATTACTAATTGGTTGCGGGTGAAAAAATCAGTCAAAACTATAAAATTTCGGTCCTGGACATTTCATCTTCAAAAACTGAAAATGGGACAGAGATTGGGAAAATATGATTTTGAAATTTTATTCGGGATTTTGACTCCCAATAACTCAATTTGGTTTTATACCACCATCAATTAACTGTTTAATTGGTTTCTGGGCAAAACTTTCATCCAATCTGTCAAATTTGCGCCCAGAAAATTTAATATTTGAAAATGGGACAGACTTTTGAAAATACAACTTTTCGTTTTGTTAAGCTTTCTGCTGCGGGCTTCCTCCGACCGAAATATTAATTCCAGCATCTCAATCGTGTCATATTCCATCTATGATTGAATTACTAATTGGTTGCGGGTGAAAAAATCAGTCAAAACTATAAAATTTCGGTCCTGGAAATTTCATCTTCAAAAACTGAAAATGGGACAGTGATTGGGAAAATATGATTTTGAAATTTTATTCGGGATTTTGACTCCCAATAACTCAATTTGGTTTCATACCACCATCAATTAACTGACTTATTGGTTTCTGGGCAAAACTTTCATCCAATCTGTCAAATTGGTGCCCAGAAAATTTAATACTTGAAAATGGGACAGACTTTTGAAAATACAACTTTTCGTTTTGTTAAGCTTTCTGCTGCGGGCTTCCTACGACCGAAATATTAATTCCAGCATCTCAATCGTGTCATATTCCATATATGGTTGAATTACTAATTGGTTGCGGGTGAAAAAATCAGTCAAAACTATAAAATTTCGGTCCTGGACATTTCATCTTCAAAAACTGAAAATGGGACAGAGATTGGGAAAATATGATTTTGAAATTTTATTCGGGATTTTGACTCCCAATAACTCAATTTGGTTTTATACCACCATAAATTAACTGATTAATTGGTTTCTGGGCAAAACTTTCATCCAATCTGTCAAATTTGTGCCTAGAAAATTTAATATTTGAAAATGGGACAGACTTTTGAAAATACAACTTTTCGTTTTGTTAAGCTTTCTGCTGCGGGCTTCCTCCGACAGAGATAAAAATTCCAGCACCTCAATCGTGTCATATTCCATCTATAGTTGACGTACTTATTGATTGCTGGTGAAAAAATCAGTCAAAACTATAAAATTTCGGTCCTGGACATTTCATCTTCAAAAACTGAAAATGGGACAGAGATTGGGAAAATATGATTTTGAAATTTTATTCGGGATTTTGACTCCCAATAACTCAATTTGGTTTCATAGCACCATCAATTAACTGACTAATTGGTTTCTGGGCAAAACTTTCATCCAATCTGTCAAATTTGTGCTCAGAAAATTTAATATTTCAAAATGGGACAGAATTTTGAAAATACAACTTTTCGTTTTGTTAAGCTTTCTGCTGTGGGCTTCCTCCGACCGTAATAAAAATTCTAGCACCTCAATCGTGTCATATGCCATCTATAGTTGACTTATTAATTGCTTGCGGTTGAAAAAGTCTGTCAAAACTATAAAATTTTGGTCCTGGAAATTTCATCTTCAAGAACTGAAAATGGGACAGAGATTGGGACGATATGATTTTGAAACTTTATTTGGGATTTTGACTCCCAGTACCTCAATTTGGTTTCATACCACCATCAATTAACTGACTAATTGGTTTCTGGGCAAAACTTATATCCAATCTGTCAAACTAATTGTGTTCAGAAAATTTAATATTTGAAAATGGGACAGACTTTTGAAAATACAAATTTTAGTTTTATTAAGTTTTCTACTGTGGGCTTCCTCCGACCTCCATCAAACTTCCAGCACCTCAATCGTGTCATATGCCATCTATAGTTGACTTACTAATTGGTTGCGGGTGAAAAAATCAGTCAAAACTATAAAATTTCGGTCCTGGACATTTCATCTTTAAAAACTGTAAATGGGACAGACTCAGAGAATGGGACAATATGGTTTTTCAATTTTATTCGGGATTTTGACATCCAGTACCTCAATTTGGTTTCATACCATTATCAATGAACTGACTTATTGGTATTTGAGCAATAAATTCATCCAATCTGTCAAATTTGTGTTCAGAAAATTTCATAGTTTAAAATGGGACAGAATTTGGAAAATATGAATCTTCGTTTTGTCAAGATTTCTGCAGTGAGCTTACTCCAAGTCCAACTGAAATCAAACTTCCAGCAACTCAATCGTATCATTTGTGTAGTGTAATGTAGTAAGCTGTTTGCAGCAGGTCTTAGGCTTGTTAGTTTTTAGATCATTTAGTATATTCTAGAATTACTATTAGTGTTGAAAAACCGTTAGAGTTAGCGTTAGATTAGATTAGGTTAGTGTTGTAGATTAGGGAGGTCACGCGGTAGTCAGGTTAGTTAAGTAGGTTGTATTATTGGACAGACTGGGCCGCGCGGTGTCACGTGGTTCGCCATGTGATGCCACGTGACCCAGTGCTGGTAAGTCTCGTCTGCCCCGTTACGCTCAGTTTTTTCGAGTGGCTTGCTTGGTGAAGTTTAGAAAATTACCACCGCCGAAAAACGCTGTAACGTGGCACACGAGTCACTAGTCTTGGTATATTGAGATTATTGTATTTATTACCCTATTTATTACCCTTCGAGACTTATTGTTCGAACCCCCTGTTTCCTTTGTTCTTACATAGCTTAGGACTCGATCACGTCATTCGATCTTTTAAAGTTGTACGGCACTCAGAAGCATGTAAGAGTTAAAGTATCTTTATTACCGTAACTAGAGTTTTCGCCGTATTCCTCAACAGAGCACGTGTAGTTGCAGAGCTAGAGAGTTACAGGTAACCGGGTACGAGACTTCGATATCGGACCCGTTTATCTCTTAAGTACGATTTACGACACTTTCCTATCGTAACTGTACTCCTTATTTACCCGTGTACGCCACTTCGCTACCGTACCTTTGTGAGCAGGCACTGTAGACCATTGGTACGCCCCGGAAGGACTGTTCTGGTACCTAGCCTACATTATTTTACACATTTGCCATCTATAGTTGATTGACTATTGGTTTTGGGTGAGAAATTGAGTAAAAACTGTAAAATATCGGTCCTGGCAAATTTCATCTTCAAAAACTGAAAATGGGACAAAGAATGGGACAATATGGTTTTTAAAATTTTCTTCGGGATTTTGACATCCAGTATTCCAATTTGGTTTCATACCATTATCAATGAACTGACTTATTGGTATTTGAGCAATAAATTCATCCAATCTGTCAAATTTGTGTTCAGAAAATTTCATAGTTTAAAATGGGACAGAATTTGGAAAATATGAATCTTCGTTTTGTCAAGATTTCTGCAGTGAGCTTACTCCAAGTCCAACTGAAATCAAACTTCCAGCAACTCAATCGTATCATTTGTGTAGTGTAATGTAGTAAGCTGTTTGCAGCAGGTCTTAGGCTTGTTAGTTTTTAGATCATTTAGTATATTCTAGAATTACTATTAGTGTTGAAAAACCGTTAGAGTTAGCGTTAGATTAGATTAGGTTAGTGTTGTAGATTAGGGAGGTCACGCGGTAGTCAGGTTAGTTAAGTAGGTTGTATTATTGGACAGACTGGGCCGCGCGGTGTCACGTGGTTCGCCATGTGATGCCACGTGACCCAGTGCTGGTAAGTCTCGTCTGCCCCGTTACGCTCAGTTTTTTCGAGTGGCTTGCTTGGTGAAGTTTAGAAAATTACCACCGCCGAAAAACGCTGTAACGTGGCACACGAGTCACTAGTCTTGGTATATTGAGATTATTGTATTTATTACCCTATTTATTACCCTTCGAGACTTATTGTTCGAACCCCCTGTTTCCTTTGTTCTTACATAGCTTAGGACTCGATCACGTCATTCGATCTTTTAAAGTTGTACGGCACTCAGAAGCCTGTAAGAGTTAAAGTATCTTTATTACCGTAACTAGAGTTTTCGCCGTATTCCTCAACAGAGCACGTGTAGTTGCAGAGCTAGAGAGTTACAGGTAACCGGGTACGAGACTTCGATATCGGACCCGTTTATCTCTTAAGTACGATTTACGACACTTTCCTATCGTAACTGTACTCCTTATTTACCCGTGTACGCCACTTCGCTACCGTACCTTTGTGAGCAGGCACTGTAGACCATTGGTACGACCCGGAAGGACTGTTCTGGTAGCCTACATTATTTTACACATTTGCCATCTATAGTTGATTGACTATTGGTTTTGGGTGAGAAATTGAGTAAAAACTGTAAAATATCGGTCCTGGCAAATTTCATCTTCAAAAACTGAAAATGGGACAGAGAATGGGACAGTATGGTTTTTAAAATTTTCTTCGGGATTTTGACATCCAGTATTCCAATTTCGTTTCATACCATTATCAATTAACTGACTAAATTTCCAATCTAATGCGTGTCCCACTTTGCTGAAAAATTCATTATCATGATTCATGGTCAATATGATTCGGCAGTCAAACTACATTCGGTCTTACCTGAAACATGGCTTCACCTCTGCGTGCATTTGTTTCCCTTGTCTTTCCTATTGTAAAGAAGTGGACCAGTACGTGACATTCGAGCATCAATCCAGTAGGCTCAGGGTCACGGAGGAGAACCGTCTGCCTAATGGCATTTTGTCGCGCATCCAGATTGAGATAAGTAAAATGAACATTTCAGTTTTAGTAAATCAATGAATTTCAAATTTTAATATAGCAGTGCAAATGCAAAATGCAATTGTATGTACAAACGTAATATCTAGGACTTCAATTGATAACCAATTCTTGTCATTGCAGCTAATAATGGTATCTCCTCAGTTATCAGGGGAAATTATACAATAAAAATGTCAACTACAAGCAAAATTTATCACAGAAAATTCAACTTCGAAGTCTGTCAAATCCAGATATCTCAAAATCGCACATGCAGCGATCTGTCCAATCAGTGATAAAGCTTATCACAAGTAACACTGAAACTCATCTTTGTAGGGCCAATCAACAGCTCCATCAATTAAGACACTTCACAGCTTACAAATATCAGAAAGATTTGTGGAAGTCCTGAATGTAGTTCCATCACGGTACGTTTTACTGTTACATATGTTTTCATCAAATATGATGCCGTTTTTTTCGGCACTACCATACTCGTTAATCCAGGGCGATCCCTGGCATTGTCCGTTACTTACCCCAAAATTTTGGGTCGAATTTGAGCTTTGGGGTGAAGGTTTGGTCCCCACCGGAGACCTAGAATATATATTGCTGCTAGCTGGCTGAGTTAACGTTTTGGTCCCCCAATTTGATCTGAAATTGTCCAGATTGAGTCTGCTCAGCTCTGAAGCTTGACGGCGAAGTGTGGTGACTCCTGATCCACCTGACCCGGTCGGGGACATGGCGTAGTCTGAACCGTTGGAGGAGCGAGATGCTACCATGTGGCGCTGTTGTTCGGGGATGTCACGTAGGATAACCTCACCACTGAAACGGAGAAAATAACGTTAGAATGTTGAACGAGACAAGCAAATCGGTACCGTCAGCATGGGATGCAGGGCCAAGCGGGAAACAACGTCAAGGCCCCTTTCCACTTAGGCCATGTTGGTTTTGGCAGATACTGTGGTAATGAAATATGAAGTGAATGAGTGAAATGAAATGAGTGAAAAGGGTGTAAGAGAGGAGGCTGTAGGAGCTTGTAAGAAATTTAGGAAAGGAAGGAAGCAGGGCATGTACTACAAAAATACAGCTACTAGTAGTACTGTAAGATTGTAACAATAACCGATAAAAATTAAATAACATAGACAGCAATAAAAGTGGAGTGGACAAATTACCCTAGATATAGACCCTAATCGGCCAAGATCGACACAATAGAACTTTTGTGACCTATTTTATCTCCTGTAAGTGATAGCTTAAGAAGTTTGATATACCCCTGCCAGATCGGCAAGTCTCCTGCCTGAAATTTTTTGCTAATGTACCATTTCGCAACGATATTAAAATAATTTATAATTTGTGAAGTGTGATTACAGACTATAAAATTAATTTTAGTGGGATCTTCGTAATTTCTATCGATTTTCCTTTTAATAAAGTCTTCAAGTATTGTGATGAAGCTATTTGTGTGAATACAATGGAGGTAAATATGAGGAATAGTTTCTAAATATGTTTTACACATGCTACACATGGGAGTATCTGTAACAATTTTCATCTTATGTCTCATGTATCTACACGTTGTGATCCTCATTAAAAGTTTGTACTGAAATTGAATCAACTTAAAGTTTTCAGATACTAAGAAAAACAGGTTGCTTAGAACGACTGCCCAATCGATGGAATGACTGTTCAAGTCGATAACCCATTGACGTAAAGGAGTCAGCTCGTTTGGGCAAATAGAATCGTACATTTTATCCCGAATTTTGCTTCCCTTCACCTGCCCAGTTGCAGAATGTAAAAATTGAAGTTTTATATTCGGGTCAACAAATTCGATATTCCTTGAGTTAATCGTGGGACAGTTATATCTCCGTATCCCCATGATAATGTTACAGTAATCAATTTTGGAAATCGTATTCGGAGACAGCTCCCACTTGTTCATGAACATATCGTAGTTAAGAAGTGTACTTTGATCTATAGAAAGGAAATCTGAGATGTAAAATATTCCCTTATCAATAAGATGATTGTTCCAAAGTTTGGACCCGATGTCAGTTATTGCTGGGTTGGACCACACACAGTGATCAATAGAACCCAAGGCTGCATTAGCCGAACTAATCTTCCACTCAGTGTAGCAATTAAGTACGTCCTGTGTAAAATTACAGTTGATATTAGCGAGACCGTTTTCTACAGAGATGGTGATGTGCTCGGGAAATTTCAGTTGCATTTTCATAATATCTTTCCAAGTGTGGTGAAAGGGATCATTTAGTAGCTTTGAAATAAGACTAGTTTCAAGACCTATAATAAAATCGGATAAATAAAATAGTCCCAGGCCTCCAAATCGGTACTTGTTCTGATACCAACTAAGTTACATTTATTCTTGTATTTTTTAAAATTTGTGTATCCATATTCCATATTACTTTTTTTCAGGCTACTCATAGTCATCGAATCTTTTGATCATGTTCATTTATGGTATATTTTTTATTCGAATAAAGTTACCTTATCGGACCTTATTTGACCGGAGTCCGGACATTAAATGAACGGACATAATTATGAACGGACATTAAAATCAATGCTCGAAGGCATTCAAAACCATCAAAAATTCAAATTTTTGTATCTTTATTTTGTGTTTTTAAAATTTTAGCACTAGATAATTTGTAAATAAATTTTTCATACAATGAGCAAGAAAAGCAGTCGTTAAGCAGTAAAAAAGTCAAAATATCTGAATATCTATGATTATGAAAGTTGTGTAAAAACAACAGATACGAAATATGACCAGATTTGATGAGCATATCAAAGGTCACCTCCCTCAAATGGGTTTTCGTGCATTAAATATTCCATGCTTAAAGCATCAGTAATACCCGCTTTTTGAAAACCATTTTTTGCTAGACCACCTCGGTCCTGCATTTCAATGTAAACTTTTACAAGATGTGGAGGTTGATAATAACTCCGAAGAAGTGAACGAGGAAGCCGAAGATAAAGAAAGTGATCATGCCATAATGTGATGCTTAGAATATTTACATTTTATAATAACTTGTTTTTCATTGATCCAATGATATAGTTTAGTCCGAATCCAAGGATAGAAATTACAATTGACTGAAATTAAAAAGTTTTCATATCCTAAACATGAGTTCGCAGTGGAATAATTTTGGCAAATATTTCATTGGACTTTAACTAGGACGGACCTTAAACGGACGGACTTTATTTGAACGGACATTAAGATGAACGCTAAGACCTCCAGCGTTCAATTAATGTCCGTTCAAATAAGGTCCCATATACAAATTTTGACCTACATCACTGCTCACCTGTTTCTACATGTGCACCTAGTATTCTGTCTAGCTGCCTGACGTTCACTGAACACCTTGTTGAAATCACCAGTAGTTATCCTAGAGGGTGATGTTGGACGGTGCATCGGGCAGGGTATACGGTTTATCGTACTCAGCGGCCGGGCCGAGTCCCCTGATGAATCTGATAGAGCCAGAGACGACCTGAATAGCACGTGTTAGATTTAGGGTTATACGACATATTTTGAAACGAGGAGTCGCTACTACAATGCTAACTGATTCCGGTTGAGGAGAAACAGTGACAATTAGTCATACAAAACATATAATTATACAGATTTTGTAAATGGTAGAAGAGGAAGTATAACACACCTATCAGAGACAGATACCCCCTCTGGTCCTGGGGATCTCGGAGAACCAAGTCTCAGATCAAAATCAATACTGTTGACAGAGGTTCTGGAGGGGTCCATAGAGACGGATCTGGGAGGTGGGGATGGAACGTAGCCTGAACCAGACATTGGGGACCGGGCGAAGGAGGGACCTTGGTCCAGGGTACCGTCAGAGCTGAGGAAGGAGGCTGATCTTCCACTGAGAATGGGAGACGGATTAAGACTAAATTAATTTAGAAATTAAATTTATCGACGATAAAATACAATTTGTAATAAAAATGGTCTGACTACTCACCGAGTTCCGTTGTACGAGCTGCCGCTCCTGATGCTCTGTCTATCATCCTCGTCAGCTGCTCTCAACTTCTCCTGTCTTCTCTTCTCGTCCCTTAAAACTTGCATTATGTCGAACCCTGTAGAGTTGGCGGAGCTGGCTGGTGATCCTGTCATAATCTGAAGAAAGATTCTGGATTAGATTCAGCATTTGATGGATAATTAATAGTAATTAGTGATAATTAATAATACTCCTAATGACATAATTAAGTGCACTTGATTAATTGACGTACCTCTCCATTAGATTGGCTTCTGTTGATCTTGGTACCGGAGCCGATCCAACTGTTATGTTTTAATATGCCACTTCCACTTCCGTTACTGTACACAGATTTGGAATCTTCTTCACCACTGTGGTATTATTGTTCATTAGCAAGTAGTTTAAAGTGTATAGTTTTCATACTTTTATGGTTTAAACTTTAGCGCCTTATAAGTGGTTTGCGGCAGCACCTTCTATGGTAGAAAACTCAAAATATTTCTCATGTCACCCACAAAATTGTAACGATGACGCAAATTCAGTCGACTAACTAAAACCATCAGCCAAATATCTTGACAAGTACAAATGAGAATAGAGAAAGAAGCAAGGAGTAAGATTGAAATCTCCCTACCTTCTGTTAGAGTTGAAGCTGCCAGCACGTGGTCTTCTTACACTGAGGAGCTTGTCGCTGCTGGGTGCGGGGGGAGGCAGCGTTCTGTTCAGATTGCTGTTGAAGTTCAGTTTCTCACATGGAAACGATGAGAAGGTATCTGATTCGGTGTCCGACATAGATTTGTCATGAGCTGAGGAGGAGGAGGAGGGTTAGTTATTACTGGAACTGTTGCTTTGAAGAAATATAGGAGGAGGTTTAAAATGTTCAATCTGAAGGACTCTAAAATATCAGTTTTTCTTTGCAACTGGAGTTTAGCACTAAAAATTCTAAAATTAAGAACTTACCTTTTCCTTTTCGTTTAGACTTGCTCAAGGTTCCAGAAAACTTGGGAGATTTCTCCTCTGATCCCGAGATAGACAAAGCTTGCACAATCCTTGTCAGACTGTTAGCTCTTTTCTGCGACTGAAACATTCAACGTTATGTATTATATTTTTCTCAATAATAAACAGTTTAAAACTTCGGCTATTTTTAAAGGGGAATAATCGCGAATTCCCATTTATTTCTGACCGGCCTAGGTTATAAGAAATACGGTACTCCAAGCTGTGCCAGTGATTATGTCTCAGATGTCGTGACCGAAACACTTTGTCCTGCGCGTGACGATAAGGAGTAAACCTATTTGTCAGGCTTACAATTTAATATCATCGAATTAATCTCGACCCATATTCACAAATTTGCCAAATTTATTACCATCATTCAAACAGTATTATTTGTTGTTATAAGAACCAATAACCCAGTGCAAGCTATAAATAACCGCTGACACTTCGATCCTAACATTAACTTTGAGAATGAGATTACGGGAGATGTAAAGCAGCACGAAAACTTGGTTTTGTCAAGGGTATAATGCGATTTAGGAGCCTCGAATAAGCGTTGTAACGATGTTATGTTTTTGTTCTCCTGGGCCGGTCCTCCTACGTTCCCACACTCATACACCATGAATCCTACCCGCCTACACGAAGAAAGGATCGGAACATACTGACTGTAAATACCTCCGACTCACTGCAGGGGTATTGCATTCAACACTGCAGGACAATCCAACTCAGCCTGGCTGGCATGGCGTGGGGCAAAAGTCATGCGGAGTAAAAGTTTAGAGGGTTTGTGAGTGATAACGCCTCTGAACTCAGCTCAGCGATGCTGTGATGAACGCAGATTTGATTAGAAATGCCAGGTTCTTGACCGGCACGTGTGTGATAAAGCAGATTGTGTGCACGTACGAGAATAATTAACTAATGATGGGGTTTTACAGAATCCTCTAGAACTAATCTCGATGGTGAGAGTTGAAACGAGTTGTGGCTTTGTTGTTACACGTGACGGCTATCGACCAACTAAAATAAACGGTTCTTATTAAGCTTAATAACTTGGTTTTTTTAAAGTTTAATAACTTGGTTTTTAATAAGCTTAATAACTTGGTTCTTATTAAGTTCAATAACTTGGTTTTTATTAAGTTTAATAACTTGGTTTTTATTAAGCTTAATAACCTATACCTAGCTCAATAGTAAGACGGTCATTTAGCTGGACTAGTTGATATATTTCCTCTATACGATTAATCATTAACCTTTTAAATTCTGAAATTTAGCAGTTTTGGAATCCAGTACCCCACCCTTCTTTGCCGGTATTTTAACCTCACCCCTATGCCACCTATACAAACTAACGATTATTCTAACCTCTAAAAATATAATGTAATTTAATTTTTATAAATATTTATGTATAAATAAATTTTCGTGAAATTAAATTTCCACCTGGAAAGGACAGATATTTTTACAAGTTTCTATATATTAAATTCTTGGACTACGCCCTCAGGTGTGCCCACAATAGGACAAAAGGAATAAACAGGTCAAATAATTTTGTAGATATCTGTTGACAAACTCTTACAAATGTAAACAAATAAATCTAATCTGCTATCTAAAATGAGATTATCTGATAATAATATCAGATATCAGTGATATCTGTAAGGAATGTTACTAACCTTCTCAGCTTTAGGTTTCTTGATGGTATCCAGATATCGAACACAGTCGTGTTGCTTGTTAGAGGATGCTAGGTCCCTGGGTTAACAAAGTGATTAGTAAGTTAATTAATTAATTAATCCCTGATGTAATGAATGGCTCGTGTCCCGACAAACGCGATCAGTATCCACGTCCATGGCTCATGCCTTATTCTATTTCTAATGAACGGTGCAGTATGTATTAGAAAACTAAAGATAAGCGGACAGATATGACGATTTTACGATCGAATAGTGAGAAAAAACAATAGAGCCCGTGGTAAAAAGTACCAAATAAAAATACACAACAATAAAAGTAAGTCGGGTTTGCAACGAAACAAATACAAAGAGAAACTAAATTCTCAAAGATTATACAAAGATTATACAAAGATTATACAAAGATTATATAAAGATTATACATACTTGGGCGTTTTGTCGTTGAAGTTCTTCTTGTGCATATTGGCTCCGTACATCTTTAGACACCGCAAACTGTCCAACTGAAAATCAAACTGTCAAAACACCGTTATGAACACAAATTGTGAGACAAATTGTGAGGCGTGAATACTGAAAGTTTTAAACTATGTTTAAATGTGGTATCACCTTTTATGAGGAAAATAAAAGGGTATATCGTGTACATAAAAGCCATTGAAGAACTTATCGTTAAAATTCAAACGTACCGAATTTAATAATTAGTAACTCTAAACGAAGCTACATATCCAAAGGGTTGGACCACAAAAATATTGGCAAAAATATCCGGATATATGAAGATAGAAAAAGAGTTGCGGCAAAGAAGCGTCGATAAATCCTTGATTCAATTAGATTGACACCCCGCAAGAAGAATATAACTCAATTCCAAAGATAACGCGCTGATCTAGATCTGGCGAATTTCTCAAACTACTGCTCAAACAAAGTCCAACACAGAATCGTGCCACCCGGTATGTTAACAAGCCGAGAAAAAAGCTATGTTATGTCAGGAATGTATAATTGCTGCTAAAAAGTAACTTCGTTTAAAGAAAATTAAAATACCTGCACTCCGTTAACAACAGTATTAGGTTTTCTCAAGCTTGTCATTAGATGTTAGGAAACTGTAACCGACAGATACAAAAACAAAGTACGAAACTTCGTCGTAATTACTTAACTGCGAGCAAGTAAAACAAAAAAGGTCACGTGACATCTCAATATATATCACGTGACCTCACAAATATAACGTGACGTCATCAAAAGTGTTACCTGTCCGTGAGCTGCAGCCACATGAACTGGGGTACTGCCGTCTTTTCCACCCGGCTCGTTGGGTGAGAGGAGATGGTTAGTGAGCAGCCAGTTGAGGAATGCACAGGTGTCCTTTCTGTGCTGCTATGTGGCACGAGTTGTATCCACTGGGGAGTTAATTATGTGAATACAATTACATAATGTGATTAATTAGGGGAATACATAATAAGGTCATGGTTTAAATTGTCAGAAACTTCTTATATCACGACTAAAATTAAACATAATAATAATTTCTGGCAGATTGGAACAATCGAGAGTATGTATGGCGGGAAACGCGGTAAACTATAACAATAGAAAAGACCGAGGACTTACGAGTCGCGAAAAGAAATTTGAACGGAGTATTATGAATACAAAACCCAGATACTCCGTCGTGATATGTATCTGTTATCACTCTAATTATTCAACTTGTTATGTACTCTGCTAAAACGTCAAAACTATCACACTGTATTTGGTCTAACTAACTAACTGACTTGGAAGCCATAGTTTAAACTTTAACCTTTCTCTCAAAGTGTCAGCAGAATAAAGTCTAAATTTTAGTTTGCGTAGTTCAGGATGACTGGCATCGCGGTAACGGGTAAAACTAAAAATAAACCTCGTGTGTACTTTTTTTTTGTTTTTTTGATTTTTAATTTTTTTAAATCTACATGTCATCACCTCATTATGGGGATCCTTAAAATATGATTGATAGTATTTTACATAAAGACAAGTCCTTATTTTTTTATACTAATCACAATTTTTACATTTTTTTGACAATTTCTAAATTTGTAAATATCTCGTTTTAAAATGTTCTTACACTTGGCAGCATAAACCGCCTTTTCTCAAAACAAGCTTATCCCGCCCAGCTCTGCCCCCTTTAGCTTATACAGTACATCTTCTCATTTTGTAACCACAGATATAGCAGTAACCTGTAGGAAACACTCAACCAACCGTTTGTCTAGAAGAGAAGAGCCGTGATTCTCAAATACACGCATAAAAGAACACTTAGAGAGATTATTAGCGGATGTTGGGGCTAATTGGATCTGCATGAAGAGTTCTTGAACACCTTTTAGCACCGCAAAGTGGGGGCGTGGAGCGGAAAGATGGTTGATGTGGAACGGGGCCTGAAATCTGTTGTCACCAACTTCCTGGTTTAGAAATCGGGCTCTCCATCATCACCATAATCATACTTGTTTTCTATAGCACAGTTAACTCCTATCTCTTCAGCTACACTTCCAGACTTTCTTGACATACAATTTCTGGTTAAAAGCATTCTATAGTAAGATTGAGGATAGGAGAGAGACAAAATATTATTATATCACAATCTCTCACGGTCTGCGACAATGCCACTAAAGACAAGAAATAGCAGCGAAAGAATCAGACTGTAAAATAGCACTGGTACGGGGCACGTGACGTATTTGGGTGCTTGCCAGCTATTCACAGTTTACATCACTTGTGACTTGCTAATTTCTTTGGCACTGAATCAGATGAATAAGTATTTCATCATCGGTTACTTTAAATAGACTTTGTCTCACTTCAATACTTAATAAGATCACTAATGTGAACTCTTTACTACTTTACTTTAAGTGTCCGCTGACTAGTTGAAAGCTGTAGTAACACTACACTTGTCTCGGATTTTTAAGAGAGTTGAGGAGCTTGGGTTTGATGTTAGACCTCAGTTAAATTTCCTGTGCCAAATGTTTCAGTTAGTCAAAATACGAAAATTAATTAATAATCTTCGTATTACAACGACAACTGTTGTGAATAAAATAGGAAAACGTAATAATTCTTTTGTACAACCCTGGGAACCCTCTAATCCTAAAAACCGATACGATTATGCTGGTAGAGGACTTCTGTGTATTTCGGTATAAAAATTGTAATGTTCACTAGCTCATTTTGGACACTTTGCCAACATTTTCTTATAAACCAAATAGCTCCGACTAAATAGTAGCGACCAAACAGACTCGAAATTCCCAAACTTCTCAAGCAACATAATAAAACTTTGGTAGCTTTGGAATTTTGCACCAGGCCAGTGAATGTAAAACGGCGCCATCACGATCCCTCTTCGCAACTCGTAAGTCCTAAAACGTGTAATAATATTTCACATTTCCCGCCAAAATCACAAAAAACACAAGGAAATATTTTCTAACCGGTTATTAATCTGTCTGACGTCACAGTTGGAGAAGTGCTGTAGCCAGATAGCGGACTTAAGGTGGTTGTTAGTAACTGCGTGGTGCATCGCCGTGTTACCTTCATTATCTTTGGTCTGGTCGTCTGCCCCGAACTCCACTAACCATCTGACTGCTGCTTCTTTACCAGCTGAACTAGCGTGATGCACTGCGGGAGGAGAAGTTAGTAATTAGTATGGTATGTTATTAAAGGAGATTTGTGAACTTGTCAGAAAAATGAGTGGATAGAACTTAGAAGAGATCAAGAAGTCAGGATGATGTGAAATCAGGTACAGATCCTATAGCCAGTTGATAATTGATTATCTTAAATCACATACTGGTACAGGGATGAGTACCTGATATTAACAGTTCACCCTCAGTTCCCTGATCATATAGTATCTCTCAATAAGATTAGGAGTGCTAGAACTGACACCTAATTCCCAAACCACGAACAAGATGATATCTGACGTGAACTAATTTCTCCAAACGTCTATCATTTGCGGTGTTAAAACCCTCCTCCGTCTGGTTTAACTGATGACCGGCAGTCCAGACAGCCCATTCTAACCATCCCCCCGCAATAATGATGCTCGTGATCAGGGGGTGATAATCCCAGGTACATATCTTATAATAGAGCGTATCAGACTGGTTAGGTACTGAAGCTGGGCTCAGTGCCAATAATATTCTTGTCCACTTTACAGACTGTTAATGCAATAAACACCAATATTCAGCTCCGACAGACCCGAAAATTAAATTTCCTAGATAATTATAGACTGGACACAGTTTTTTTGCACCTCCAAATTTACCTTTAAAGGGTTACATTCTGGCACTAGCACAAATTCTGTGATCAACAGTAGATTTACTTTATTTATTTCAGGCATTTATGCGTATACGGTATAATTGTCCAATGCTCTTACAAATTGATCATGTTTTTATGGGAAGGGAGGGTTACAAAGTGAATATTCGGCATATAAATGCAGCATAATGAGACATAATTAGTCACAATCTATAATCCTTACTTTCCAGAACTATATTCGTCACTCTAAGTCAGCTCGATTTACACACTGTATTTCAATTTGTCCAATTCTTGTCGTACAACTCATATATATATATTGCAACACGTAACTGATTGATGTTTTCTGTTACAATAAAACTGAAAGTTGGAACAAAGTCTGGACCAATCAGAGAGTTTGAAAGCAACCACATGACGCCAGAATCAAGGGAATTAAAGAAAATTGGGAAACCGATTATCCGGATTGCTTACCAACGTTAGAAACCCCGGGGAATCACACTTGGCCCACCTCCACAAATTAATGTTGCAAATTTTTAGAAACTGTTTTGTTTGTGACGAAGAGTTCGGGAGAACTGATTGAATCAAAGAAAGACCGTTCTTAGACCGCCTCCCCCCACTTAATGACCTGTGCAGACGCACACAGAGTAGTATATAAAGATGGTAACTGTTTTTAGTTACAGAGAGAGCGTGGGCGTGTGCTGTACATGTGAAACAGCGGGTGGAAGAGTGGAATACTAAATAACATTAAATATAACGGTAAAATGTTACAACTTCTTCTTAAGAAGTGAGGTGTAATTTTAACTTCTTTTCAAATCACTCCCACAGACTTGGCTTGTAGTGTGAAAGTGTGGGACGTTAGCAAAATGGCTGGTCGACCAATTGCGGAGGAGGGGCTGGAAAAACATTATCGACTTGAAGATTTTAAGGATCTCGTCCTTGAACACACGAAAAAAATGAAAAATACTCATTAAAAATCAGTAAATATAAAGTTTGCACTTACGGGCAGTGTATCCGTTCATGTCATTACACATCATAGTCTCCGGGTCCGCCAGAGCAAGTCTCCTCAGGGTTTGTAGGTGGCCTTTCTGTGAGAGCAACCAAGTGTTAGATTCCATTGTAAATATTTTCAATCGTGTGAAATTATTTTCTCAATTTTAATCTAAATCAAGAACATGTAAAATAATTAGAAAATAAAATTCAGCTCTAAAACAAGTCTTTTCGCTGATCTATACAGAGGATGAAAACTCAATGGAGAGATAAAAAGTTAGAACGATTACGAAAAAGATTACAAAATATGAACGATCAAACGAAACATGGAATGAGCAATGAAGTACGGCCAGGTTTTCTCCGGAAGAGGAATGAAACAGTTGCTCAGTTAAACGAAAATTAAACGGAATTATGGCACCTCATTTTAGAGGCAATGGTATTTACAGGGTATATAAACATATTTGAGATCGTGTTTCATGAAGTTGAATTGTCAGCATGCTTATCTTAATTACATTTCTAAATCTGATTACAGTGTGAGAATTTACTAATTTATCCTAAAACCGGGTCCTGTTTAGTATCTAACTGGACAACTGGAATCTTGATTTTACGTAAAACAGATAACTGCAATGAACGTGGGAAATTCCTGTCGAGGAATTCTAACAACGTGTACAAACTAAAGAGTGGTAGCAGAGGTGGCTGTGAGATATTTGGATGTAATCCAAATATGCAACTTTAGACTTAACCTTCAGACTTCAATGAGGACAATGATACGCGAGTATAATAACGCTCCACATATTTTGTCAGGGTAGATAAAGATATATTAATAAACCAAATATGGATGTAGCAAAACATCCAGGCGTTAAATATAGAGAAGCAACAAACAAAGAACGGATCAGAAAAGTAAAAACGCTAAAAAAGGTAATATATAAAGGAATAATAATAAGAAAATCTGTTGACAAGAAACTTCAAATAAAAATTGCTAACCTGAGCGGATAACATGAGTGGAGTAATACCACTGCGATCCCTAGTTTTACACACTGCACCGTGTTGCAGCAGATAGGTCAAACAGACAAACTTGCCGTGATCAGCTGCCTCGTGCACTGCTGTCCTGCCCTGTAGGGTCATTATATGGTTACTAATCACCTAATATCCCTTAATTTAAAACATTATGTAATCATTTCTCTAATTATTTGTGGATTTCTAAATTTAAGTTGGTACAATAAACGGGTGGATTTTTCCCACGGATAAGATTAATTTGTTTACAGTTAACAGTTACATCAGCAGACGCGTGAAGCCTGCAGGAGGATGACCAATGAACTTGAATGTGCTGGAAACAGCCCCCTTCAGGTTAAGTCACAAGAAACGATCATCATCGCTAATCATAACGCTGCCATCATAATAGTAATACAACCCCGGGTCGCACTTAGCAAGTTGCAACCTAGATCGGAACAGAGGGGGAATGCAACTCGGTAATATCTGACGGAAACTGTCGTTCCTTAACTTGATCCTTATCTCAGTTAATAACCCGCCAAACGTACCACAAGTAATTTTAGCACTAAATATGGTGCAGCTGTTCCATCAATTACTGTTGACTCCTGCGTGGTGCTGGGAATTGGAAAATCGTACCACTCTAGTTAGGAAAAACTACAAAGAGTCTTTTGACCCTTTGTACCCGTCAAATTATTGTTCGTGGAACCACAAAGAGCTTGCGATTGAATGGCGGAGGGACACCCTGGCACCAGGCGTTAGATCAAAGTGGATTAAATAGAGATAATATCAGGAGGTAGGGTGGGAGGTATCTACTATCTCTCAATTCTGCACTTACGGCTTTCAACAACTCGCACAGTGGTCCACCAGGCTATAATTGACCCAAAATCGAGTGTCATGAAATTCTGTTTATTTATTTGTTATTTATCATAAATTATCAGCCGGTACATATGCTGAAGACGATAATTAAAAATCTTTCAAAATGTGGAAATGGCGTACGATAATATTAACGATTTTTTTACACAGTCCGAAATTCAAGCAATTGGCAGTAAAAATTGGCCTACATCTGACTGGATATTCATAAAGCAGTGTTTATTTGCATTTACTTACTCTTGTTGTTGCTGTTTAACGTTTCGAATACCTGTCTAATGAAAAAAAAATCATGTTGATACCTATTTTGGTTGATTTTTCATGTGCCCTCAAATTTTAGACCCACTTTTTAACCAAAATTTTGGTTTTAAAATAAAAAATGTTAGGTAGTGCGCTCGAGTGCGCCTAAGCCACCTATAGCATCCTAAAGTTCAGATAATTATCTAACTAGCCATAAAAAATTCAACCTGGGACTAGCTGGGACTTTCAAAAAAATCTGCCACGCCCATATTTGGTCCCGATTATCCCAATTATGCAAAATCACCTTAAAATGCTCAGAGCCATGCTTTGGGGTGCTTTACTTGTAGCTACTAGTCTCCTGAACACAAATATAAAGTTTTATCAAAATTTGATAAACATTGGCTGAGTTATGAGCAAAATACTATATGACCATATTTGGGCATACGCGCCAATTTTGATAGATTTTGATAGATTTTAGCCCATAAATTGGCCAATTATCAATATTTTTGTATGAGACAAATTTTATATGTTTGGTTAGCCTATACTTCACATTCTCTATGAATATCAGCTCAATATCTACCTAACTGTGGATTCTGTGTTCAAATAATGGCAAAAAATGAACAAATGTGCCCATATCTCAGTTCGCGACATTCGCGAAACTAACTTCGCTTAAAATAATATAACTCAATAGGGTTTCAATATTTTTTAATGAAATTTTCAGAATCAACGTAGAATTGCCTGAGGACCTTAAGTTATAGAGTAGAATTTTGAGTCAGGCCTTTTAAACAAATTTAGTGGCCAAATTCTAAAATTTTCAGGGTATTTTTGGAAAAAATCAATTTTTTGATTTCTCATTTTCAGCCCTTCTGGTATATTTTGAGGTCTTGTAAGTGCTTTCAAACGTCTTTTCGGGCGAAAATACTCCAGGAAACATCTCCTGAGACAACAAAATGACCTAGAAGGGGTCTATTATAGCCTGACCCCCCTTCGCGGACCACTGTGACTCGTTAAAAGTAATTTGACCTTATTCAGGCACCGAGGGGACGCTTTTAAATTCGAAATCACACTGATTTTTGTGAAAGATTCTCAATCTAATAGGATTTTCTTCCATTTTACTGGTACACCCGAGACTCCGCTCTTATATTTAAGTAATGAGTTATGACGTAGGTAGTGATACGCTACAGTCGTAATTCTTGAGCAATCGGGAGCAATCTATGATATTGCATCGCAATTTTCACGTACGCTGTATCGCGTCCAACGTGTTAAAATGACAAAAAGTATATGCTTAAAAATCTCGATGAAAACTTACATTGTTATTGGACATCTTGGTGTAATCGCTGTATTTTCTGAGGAGTAGTTTGAGGATGGCCTTGTCACCACATCTTGCAGCGAGGTGAGCTATACTAGATCCTGTACCTGGCTCCCGTACACTCATCATACTCTGACCTGAATAGAGGTGCGGGTTATATGGGGATAATAGAGGTTAATAGAGGGTGATAGAGGGTGATAGAGGGTAATATAGGGTGTTGTGCGAACAAGGAACGCACGCCTTATTTCCAGTTTTCAAATCAGAGAGGCATATAATTTACATCTAAAATGAGAGTTAAACGACGATCCAAAACTCATAAAAAACAAACAACGACGTTTTCAAATACCAGTACGGTTACTCCGACACGTCAATATGTCTAAGTAACCTCACTATTGTGGCACGTACACTAGGTTACCCCGACACGTCAATATGTCTAAGTAACCTCACTATTGTGGCACGTACACTAGGTTACCCCGACACGTCAATATGTCTAAGTAACCTCACTATTGTGGCACGTACACTAGGTTACCCCGACACGTCAATATGTCTAAGTAATCTCACTATTGTGGCACGTACACTAGGTTACCCCGACACGTCAATATGTCTAAGTAACCTCACTATTGTGGCACGTACACTAGGTTACCCCGACACGTCAATATGTCTAAGTAACCTCACTATTGTGGCACGTACACTAGGTTACCCCGACACGTCAATATGTCTAAGTAACCTCACTATTGTGGCACGTACACTAGGTTACCCCGACACGTCAATATGTCTAAGTAACCTCACTATTGTGGCACGTACACTAGGTTACCCCGACACGTCAATATGTCTAAGTAACCTCACTATTGTGGCACGTACACTAGGTTACCCCGACACGTCAATATGTCTAAGTAACCTCACTATTGTGGCACGTACACTAGGTTACCCCGACACGTCAATATGTCTAAGTAACCTCACTATTGTGGCACGTACACTAGGTTACCCCGACACGTCAATATGTCTAAGTAACCTCACTATTGTGGCACGTACACTAGGTTACCCCGACACGTCAATATGTCTAAGTAACCTCACTATTGTGGCACGTACACTAGGTTACCCCGACACGTCAATATGTCTAAGTAACCTCACTATTGTGGCACGTACACTAGGTTACCCCGACACAGTGACACTATGAGTCTCGGTAACCCTACTACTGTACCTGTGGCGGCACAGTGGCACTACTACAGCACTGTGTGTCTCAGTAACCCTACTACTGTACCTGTGGCGGCACAGTGGCACTACTACAGCACTGTGTGTCTCAGTAACCCTACTACTGTACCTGTGGCGGCACAGTGGCACTACTACAGCACTATGTGTCTCAGTAACCCTACTACTGTACCTGTGGCGGCACAGTGGCACTACTACAGCACTGTGTGTCTCAGTAACCCTACTACTGTACCTGTGGCGGCACAGTGGCACTACTACAGCACTATGTGTCTCAGTAACCCTACTACTGTACCTGTGGCGGCACAGTGGCACTACTACAGCACTGTGTGTCTCAGTAACCCTACTACTGTACCTGTGGCGGCACAGTGGCACTACTACAGCACTATGTGTCTCAGTAACCCTACTACTGTACCTGTGGCGGCACAGTGGCACTACTACAGCACTATGTGTCTCAGTAACCCTACTACTGTACCTGTGGCGGCACAGTGGCACTACTACAGCACTGTGTCTAAGTAACCCTACTACTGTACCTGTGGCGGCACAGTGGCACTACTACAGCACTATGTGTCTAAGTAACCGTACTACTGTACCTGTGGCGGCACAGTGGCACTACTACAGCACTATGTGTCTAAGTAACCCTACTACTGTACCTGTGGCGGCACAGTGGCACTACTACAGCACTATGTCTCAGTAACCCTACTACTGTACCTGTGGCGGCACAGTGGCACTACTACAGCACTATATGTCTCAATAATCTCACTAATATGGCACGTACCTGTGGCGAGTCTCTTGCTGATGGCAGCATAGTCACGTTCCAAAACATTCCTCAATATCTGTAGTGTTTCTGTCACATGGTTCGCTACCTGGTAGGGTAGAGGGGGTTAGTTTTATATACCGAGTTTAATCAAGTCAAATACAATCGCTTTTAGTAAAGGAAAGTCTCAATATGTTTCTTAAGAATAACACTTATATATTATCTTATTTGCTAAAAGTAAATGGATTTGAGAACGCCCTGCACCTTGGAAAATAGCACAGTAGTATCACAACACATTGCGAGTTTCGAGGGCTATTTAAAGTCAATATAAAACGCTTTAGAAATAAGTCAAGTTAACTTGAGGGAAAACAAATTTGAAAAGAGTATCCAGTAAGGATCAATCCCGGTAAATTGAGGGTTGATTGTACGCTAAAATGTTACCTTGAGAGGGTCACTGTGGAGAAGGTCGTTGTGGAGGTTGTCAGTAAGATGGGGTTCTGAGGAGGAGGAAATCTTCTTGCGTTTATCAGGGGTCTTGGTGTAGATCATTTAGATTCACAAACAGAGAGAGAGAGGTGTGTGAGGTAGGCTAGGACATGTGCTACTGGAGAGGGGACGGGGTTAGTTTAACAGTTGGGTTTTGAAGAGAAATTAGAGTTGTATAACGAATTATAATGGCAGAATGACAAATCTATTACGATGTATTTGTTGAGCAGGATTGTTGAAGGTGATACAATCGATCTAAACAACCAAATGACACTCAAAACTGTCAACATGAGCAGTGACGACAATGATTCATTAGTTGCGAAACAGTGCAATTAGTTACATAACAAACAACAGAGCAGTTATATATTTTAGTTAAGCAACAAGCAACAAGGTGTGCCGGTTGAGTGATATTCTCAGATATTTAGTAATATTAATCTAAGACTGACTGAAGGTTGAGAGTCCAAACGTTAAAGTTAAAGTTGCAGAAGTGTTTATCAAATATATTTGACTAGCGAGATTGGAGCTCGTTAAGAGGTCCACAAGTTAAAGTGACAAGACTTAGATTTGATAAATGTTATCAAATCTAGCTGGTAGGTCTAAGGGAGTGGTTTCTAGTGGTTCGAACCATTTTAACGAATCGTTTTAGCAAAAAGTTTCAGAGCCAACCACATACTTATACTGCAGACCATTATGCAACCAAACCAAATTTGATCTCCCGCAGCTCACTTCGAGAAGATTTCTACAGCAACCCACCAATCAGAGAGCGGGGAACCAGCTAACTACCAATCAGTGACGAGAAAACGGGTCACGTTACCATGGAAACGGCCCCGTGAGTAAGCAGCAGGTGGGGGAAACGTCACAGAACAATTAAAGAGCTCCCTCTCACCAGCTCAGCTAGGGGGCAACGTGCACTGACCACTGGAAGTTGTGTGGAACTGTAACACATTACCCAATCAGAGCAGGGGATTGAGTCATGTGGTTGGTAACTGACCAGTCAGAGGGCGGGATTTGTGTCACGTGACCAATAATGAGGAGCTGTCGAGTGTAGACTCCCCTCCAGGCAGTCAGGTAGACAGCAGTTACAGTTACACTAGATACACACTAGTAGAGTGCAACTGTAAGTAAGGTGTAAGCTGTACTACGCTGGTAGAGTAAGGTGCACTAAACACTGCGGGAATTAGTTGTAAACTGAGACTAGAAGCACTACCACTACACGGTCAAATGATCTGTACATTAAACTCGTTAATCAAGTATCAAAATTCCCGTGTAAACCATTGAGTATACACTATACTGTGTATAGTTCCAATACACCATTAATAATCTAATTACACACTTTAAACTGATTAAGTTATTGCCATTGTATCGAGATTATAGCGCATCATATTATAGACTAAACTCTCCTACACAGCGATAAAAAGTAACTAAACTATTGATCATTGATTATAAGCTACACACATAATCTTGATGATATTGGTTATAACCTACAAACAAAATACGGAGCAATGATATACGCTGAAATTTGGGCTACAAAATAGATTACAATATTATAGGCTACAATAGACAAGGGAACACACACGTCAAGTACACATGTGACAAGTGACAAGTACACATGTGACATGTGACAAGTACACATGTGACACTGAGAGCCGGATGATTTGAGCGCTACACATGTGTATGAACTAACCCGGGAGGAGTTGGAGCATAAAGCACCCCCGTATATTACTAATAATGCACCATTATCCAGCGCATGCTTATTACTCAACTAAACTACACTCCCCACTGTTATGTTAACTACGTGCACTGCTCCCCACACAAAGGGGAGATGATTGTGTGGTGTCGTGACAGAGACTAGTATTGAGAGCATGACAGATGTGGTCCTAACGGTTAACTGTTAGTTCCAGCAAAGTGTGCTGCTGTGAATGAGTGTGCTGGTCGAGGACACCACCCTTGTAGAACAGGCTGTACTATTAATGGACTCTTACTGGACATGCAGCTAATCCAGAACAAAATGCTACTAATAAAAAGAGATGGATAATTGAGAGAAGCATAAAAGAGTATAAAATAAGGATTGGTAGGAAAAGTAGTACAATACAGATTGTGCAATGGTTGTACAGAGTGTATTCAGTGAATACTCCACCCACTGCTATCCTAGATTGAGGAGTGCACTAATGAGTAAGGGGAGATATTCATCATAAAAGCATAATATGATAAAATAAAATAATTATCACATAATTATCAAACAAATCATCGAACGAAAATTAAAATAATAGTTAGAGATATGAGATATTACCACCTAGGTGGTAAATCTGCAGTTTCGCGGAATATGAGGTGCACCTCATATTCCGCGAAACTGCAGATACAGCTCTAACAATAACAGTGCAAAGAGTGAAAGAGCGTACGAGTGAGGGTCGAGCCAAGAAGGCTACGGAACAAGGAAAAGTAGTAAATCTGATCGAGTTAACTATTGAGTAATAACTACCGCTAGTTAGCAGTGAATACAGATCACTGGTGATCGGGTAAAATCAGCACCGGGGCAGCAGTATGGGCAAGGAACAGGATACAATCAAGGACTGTTTCTATAAAGTGTAAAGTACAGTACAATATTATACAAGTAAAACTGCACAAACCAATATTCGTAATATCAAGGAGAGAGCGATAAAACCGCTGTCACGTCTGTCAAGAGTTACATTACTATGCATATCTCCAGATTAGAGAGAGAGAGACAGAGAGAGATCTCCAGATCAGAACCTGTCACGTGACATGTATCTCTCTGTCACCCTGTCAGACTGTAACAGTACCAGAGATAACAAGATAACTGCTCTCCCCCATTGCACGGTGATTAGCAGGATTTAGAAGAAAGCACTGGAGGAGGACATGTCAGCTCACAGAGCACACTACAAGGTGGCATGATGTGGTAACAGTGACGTGCTCTGTGATGGTGGGAGAGAAAGAGATATCGTACGATCATGCAACCCCCACAACAATATATCTCTAGTTTAAAACTACATTACAAGCAATACTTAGCGCGTAAAAAAGAGAGGTTGCGTAATGGTTACGGCGCAGTGAAACTCTATCACTTTAAAACAGATTGATCTGTATCCAGATCTGCACGAGATGTAGATCTGTAGCGATGACGCACAGTACATAAGCCACAGTGTGAAATTTAAAGTGAAGTTTAAAGTGTTCAGACCCACCATGACGTAGTGTAGATGACTCATACCGTGAAAATTAAAGTGGTTATATAGCCCCACCAGCAGCAAGGAAAGGAACGACTTGTCAACTGCAGGATTACGTAAAGCACTCTCTCTCCCTCTCTCTCTCTCTCTCTCTCTCTCTCTCTCTCTCTCTCTCTCTCTCTCTCCCTCTCCCCACTCAACAAATTCTCAGACCAATTATGAGACCCGGACGTTTTGGGTAATGTTGAGGGTGAGGAATGGAGCAGTGGCGCTCTCCGGTTTTGGGATGGTGTAGTGTTACACTGTGCACTGTAAAGCACAGGTCATACCGTGGTGGCGATAACGGGATTCTTGTCTGGTGTTTGGGTGCAAATATTAGCATTGTTAGTGATTAATATTATAAAGGAGTAATATTTTGAGGGAGTTTTTCGGGTCATGTACGTGGCAATCGTGCAGACTTAATTATGAATTTTAGCGAGTGCAGTGCAACTGGAATTAAGGCATAAAAAATGAAACGAAATAAGCAGCCTGGGAATTTGCAGGAGGCGCGATATTTTCTGACAGTAATGTTCCTGATGAGATTAGGTGCACTTTGGATAAATCCTTACCCTGAGAGGGAGCCCTCTTTACAATAAACCCTCCCAGTATAACTCACTACAAGCACGACAAGCTTTCAGAATCTATATACTGTAACAAGATTAAAGATCATAACAAGGTTTGATGAGCCCTGAACCTTACCAGAAATACCCTTCAATCCCCCTTTCCGGGCCACCATGTCTTAGCTGGGTCAACTAGAGTTGCGCCTTATAAACTCTGCGTAGTTTTAATTACTTGCATAGGTACCAGAGACTGATTAGGTAGTAACTGTAGTAACCGTAGTAACCGTAATAACCGCAGTAACCGCAGTAACCGTAGTAACTGTAGTAACTGCAGTAACCATAGTAACTGTAATAACTGAACTAAGTTATAGTGATTTAGTTGGTAACAACAGGAGCAACCACGACGTAATAGACATTAGACATAGGATCAGTATATAAGTATCAGCTGACAATTTCTTTTATAGAAGGTTAAAGAAGAATAATACTAGTCTTATTAGTATTAGAAGAATAATATTAGTATGAGAAGAAGGTTCGAGTGGGGTAGTAATAAGTACATCCCCATTTGTTGGGGTGTTTAATTGTTAAGTTGATATGATTGGGGAGTGAGTACCCATCATCTTAATTAGGACCCTCCGTATTCTCGTATTCTAGAATAATCCTGTGGTAAGTGTATTGCGACAGTGAGGGGACGTGATGATCGTCGCACATGTTACTATACTGAATTTGTGAATCCGTACCCAGGATGGCAGCGGTTTAATATGTTTCTAATGACCTTCACATATATTCTAGAATCGTGTGGTTCCAGAACCTTAAAGTAAGAATATTATATTCTGGAAGGATTGCAACAGTGCAGGAAGATCAAATTTACAACGATGTCGAAAATGATCATCACAAATGAAATTAACAACATCCTGCTCCAGATGGCATCATTTATATTTTCCTAGAACCCCCTTCCCCCCCCCCCCCCCCCCTTCTCCCTCTCCCCCATACAGCTATGGAAACCACAACATTTTAACTTTTTTCTGCTTTCCACACAACGCCTCGCTGCTTTTCACATAACGCCTCACCAACGAGAATTGGTCATTTGTTCTGGAGGGACTCCCACACATTATTATAAACCACAGCGATCACCTGCCTGATCTGCTTCTCCACATAATATAGCGGCCACGAGCTTGGCAAATGACCAACTAGAATTGCTTTAGTGTAATAGTTGTGAAATGTAAAACTAAACGCCGTCAATTTAAGGTCAATATAAGGTACATCGAAAACAAAGAGAGATTTATAAAGA